GTGAGGTCTGAGTCAGTTAGTTGATAAGTGCTGGCTGGCTGTTCACACTCTGAAAGCTGCTTTGTAGGGTTCCAAACAAATTGAAAGAGAAAATGAACTGTAAATAAGTGATTTTTTTATTTGATCTTTTTGAATTTTTTGAAATAAAAAAATAATAAATTTATTACATAAAAGTTACACAATTGTAACTTTTGTTGAATCCACAGAGTTTTCTCATTCTCACATACTATTCTCACATACTGTATATTAAATTATGATATATTATATTAATATTATATATTAATTCAATTTATATTATATTCTAAATTAAAAAAATATAAAATTATTGGAATTTTAAAAATAATTATAAAAAATGAAAATTAAATAATTATATAAATTAACTAAAATATATAATAATTTAATATAGTAAGTTAATTAATTATTAATATTGTTATAAATATCAAATATAATAATTATAATTAATAGAATATAAATTTATGGCTATTAACTCACCTTGGCATAAAGTAACTCACTTTAATAAGTCTTTGCCAAAATATTTACCATTTACAATTTTGGAAAAATTTTACTCGACTGCTTATTTGCCAAATATTTTAAAATCTAATTAAATTAAACTTATAATAAAAATATCTATTATTTTATTTAATACATTTCTTTTTTTATTCTTTAATAACAGCTTTTTTATAAGGAATATACCGGGGCATAAAAACATTATTTCAATAAATGCCCGAACCAAAAAACACTTCAATATTTTAATTATTCAAACCAAGTTCTTCAATGCAATTGTTGACATCATTTTCGTTAAATGCAACCAAGTCTGTTTCATAACTTGGGACTTTTTGAACAGTTTCTCCTATCAGTATCATGTCTTCATCGCGAAGTAAACTAACATTAATTCTTTCGGATATATCTTCTTGGTTTGGTACGTTTGTTTCAAGCGTAGCACGTGTTGACATTCCCGCTCCAACAAATTCGTTCAAAGTTGTTGGTTGATGGTAATTTGCCCCAACCAAATGAGCTCTGTTCAAATCTCCACTGAGCCGTGTTAGTATTTTATTTGCAATCCCAGGAATTTGAATACAGGCTGTCCCCACTTCAGTTCTGAATTCACCAGAAGCCATTCTGTTGATCAAATAAAACGGAAACTTCCTCAAAGGCTTTTTGCTAATTGAAAAGTTGCAAAGTGAATGAGCAACATAAACCAAACACTCGTAATTTGATAATGAGTGACTATATCTGTTTCTCATCAGACCAAATATAGTTATCAGCCTTCCAAAATGGTTTTCGACAATTATCCTGACGCTTGAATGAATCGTGTTAAAAGCTTTTATCAATACTGGATCAACAATAAATATAAAATCATCAGTATCTGCACGTAACTTCGCTTCATCAAATTCGAATAAATTATCTTGTATTTTTATTTCAAATTTTTTTTAGTTTTTTTTCATGAATCACGTAAACTTTGAAATTTATTTGTTCTTCGAACCCAATTGGGAAAACGACTGTAGCCATAATACGACACGACAGATTTCTTTCATTTTGAGGAATTAGGTCAAAAAAACTTTTAATTCTGTATTTTGTGTCTGGTATAGTTCATCTACTCTGTTTACAAATCCACTAACAATACCTTCAAACTCGTTCTTTTTCACAATTCCTTCAAAAGACACCACACATTAAATACAAAACACTACTGTTTGATTTGAACATTCAATTTTTGTTTTGATATCTTTGGATATGGCTACCGTTTCTCGTTTTTGGTATTTACCAAATGGGGTTATCGTTTGATTTATTCCTTTATAACCACCGTCAGCTAAAACCCACTCTCCTTTTTTTTATTAAAAAGGAGTCCCACGAAGCCTTATAAACACTTAAATCATTGACAGAGCACTGAATGGGTGATCCAACCTTTACCACCATCCCGAAATAGTCGACATATACTTCCGTTTTTATGCCACTTGAGTTGTGCTTAAATAAGTAATAATTTGTGTCTTTTACTTGTCTGTTTTTTTCATTCGCTTTTCTTTTTGTTGTTATATTTTGGTATTATCCTACTATATTGGTCACGTCCGTCGACAATATAGTAGGATTTTTCCAATTCTGGTATCACTTTTCCAAATTAAGGTTCTCTTCCGAACAATAAATTGACACGACAATTTTCAGGAATTTTATATATTGAATCAATAAAACACGTTTTCATTTTACTGGAAAATATTTTTAACGCTTTATCAATATTTTTTTCAACGAAAGAACTCATTGTACATTTTGACACAATATTATCAGAATTAATGTCACAATGAAATTTATAATCTAGTATTTCATATAAAGTTAAATAAAAAACCGTGTTTGACGTATGTAAGCAACAGAAGAAATAATTCTTTGCAATTAAGTGTTGAATTTTTATGAAATGCCAAAAATGTCAAATCTCTTTTTTGAACAACATATTGATAATTCACCACATTCCACTTTCCGTTGCTTGTTACCAGATTAAATATTTCATCAAATTCTTTATAACTGAATCCAGTTAAACACTCAACACTAGTTTTTTCTTTTTCGAGAA